CCGTGCATTTGATCAAACGTCGTTGAAGCTTGCCGACGACAGGTTAACCGGTAAGCTAATCTTAGAAAATGAAGGTAGGAAAACTCACACTCTCCTCTCTAAAGTGTGCTCAGGCCAAGGCAACGGCGCCAAAATACAATCTCCCGGACAGACACTACCGGTGAAGAAACTCTGCGAGAGAAGTAAGTCGCTTCACACCAAGCGTCACCACATGAAAACTAAGGCGAAATGCGCCCCAGGGCCTTTTGTTCTGTTTTGCTATTCCGCAGGTCGGACTACTCAGCTGCACGAGGGCCAGTGCGTCTGGGCTGTTGCGTAATTCTGACAAGGACATCGTAGACACGACGGAAGAGGGTTGTCCGAACCGGACTCTAAAAAACGGAAGACAACGGGTGGCCATTGTGCTGTGCGTGTGGAGCAGGTCAGACGAACGAGCCGCAGGAACATCAGTGGGGTAATCCAGCGGCGGTAAGGGTGCACCCAGCAGCATTGAGTGAGTACTTTTAAGAAAATGTAAGCGGAAAGAAGAAGAGAAAAGATGTAGGAAAGTAAGAGCAGGAAAGGCCGAAGAGAGATAGGAGATGGGGTTAGGCAGGACGAAACTATGCCGGCAGCAATAAATCAATGCAATCGTCAATGCAACCTCAGTTTTGATTTCGTTGGTGTACATTTTCCCAGTGTTTGCGTTTTAGCCAACAGCCCATAGGTAGTCTGCCCTACCTCATGTATATTGCAACAATATATTTCTTTTTTAAATTATGGTCATTCGTGACTTGTCCGGGGTGAGATTTGAACTCGTGACTTTGACGTGAGAGGTATGGATGCTAATTACTACGTCGGGGTCGCCCCCATGACCTATAATTATTAAGAATATTGTCCCATCGTTAGTGGCGCCGGTGGTGTAGTGTTAAGCGTGATTACCTCTCACCCCAGCAGGCCTGGGTTCAATCCCAGTCGGCGCCGCCGGGATGTTCTGAGGCATAACATCTCTGATCACGCCTTCCTTCGGAAGGGAAGTACAGCCGTTAGTCCCCGGTTCATGAGTTGATGGGTCGATATGTAGGGTCCAGGTGTGGGAGCTGCCTCTCTGGCGTCGGTAGCATTGGTGCTCAGTACGGAAAACAAATCAAGGAAAAAAAATTGTCACATCGTGCATCTAGTCGGCTAATTGATAAGATGCGAGTCCCAATGATAATTTCTCCATCAGTGTCGCAAGAAACCAACCATGCTGAATGCCGTTCACAAGTGACAATCGGATGGGAAACAGCGTACCGAGCAGGGATGCCAGACAGGGGTTGAACCTGTTGACGTTTTTTTACGACACTCGCTTCGTTGTCATGCGCAACAGTCTGTTTTTATTCGTACTCTCATGCTCTACCGTCGTCTTTCTCACACAACACAACCGGTAGAATAACATTCGAGCAAAAAGAAAATTATAAAATAACTATCATATGACATGAGTGATTTCGTTCTAATTCCTCAGTTTGGTGTAAATTAAACCATTTCTGATCAAAAATGTTATTCCTTGGACATCATTGCTTGATATTTTCAGAATTCACACAAGCACAACATCAGCAGCTCTTATTATGAGAAAAAACTAAAATACAAACATTCGTTACGGTCTTCGGCGACAGTGTCGTATGACAGAGCCTGTCAAATGACATTTGAGTTTGGTAATGTACTATGATAGCTTGTTTTGCAAGTGTCGGATTCAAAGGCAGTCGATTATCACAGAAAATGTGTCGACTACCGTGACCGCTTACAAGACTGATGCCAGATATATTTAGTAAAAATCTTCATCGAGATGGACGAAACGTCTTCCCATGTCTTCACCGTTACTTTCAAACTTGCGATGGGGGTTGTTCAGATTCTTAAAATTGAATCGTTGCAGAAGTTCAGAGAAGATCGTGGCAGTTCGAGGAACTTCGTAAAAGTTCTGGGAACGGTATAGAACTTTAAGATACGGTGTTTTACTTTATTAAGCTTCGCAGATCTTCAAGAAACTTTGTAGATCTCCAGGATACTCCGTAGATCTTCAAAAAACTTCGTAGATCTCCAGGAAACTTAGTAGAAGTTTAGGTAACTGCGTAGAAGTATAGGAAACTTTCTAGAAGGGCGGCACTTTTTTTTACAGTTCAGCTAATTTTGAAGAAGCTCAACAACTTTGTAAAAGTGCAGAAATTTTTTTTAAAGTTCAACGAAAGAAGCAAAAGCTTATGAAAATATGTAAAATTTTCGTGATCTTTGCAGAACTTGATTGAACTTCAGAAATATTATCCCTAAAGTTGAAGTTCAAGGATTTCTCTTTAACTTCAAGTACTTCTTAGAAGTTCAAGAAACATACTAGAAGTTCAGAAAGCTTCGTAAACATTTTAGAAACTTCATAGGACTTTAGAGAACTTCGTATAAATTCTAGAAATTTTGAATCAGGATATTTCGTAAAAGTGGATACTTTATCCTTGTTTGGGAAACTTCACAGAAGTTAACTCAATACTGTTTTATGCAAGGGAAGTTCGTAAACAGCTTCTTTTAATATTCAGCCACACTGTTGAAGTATAAGGGACTTGGAATATGTCACGGAATTGCGTACAAGCTCAGGAAAATTTGTGGAACTGCACGGAAAATCACCGAGAAACGTAAAAGTGCAGTAAACTGTGTATAACCTAAGCGAATTACATAGCAATTCAAGGCTACGTAAGATAAAAAGAAGTGCAGGGAATTTTGAAAATGTGTATGAAATTTCTTAGGAGAGCAAACAGTATAGCAAAAGTTTAACAAACCTCTACGAACTTCAGCGGTCCTCATTTCTGCTTAGAGCACAAAGTAGTAGTTTGCCAGAGTCAGAGGCGCGTCCTTCTTCAAAGATATGAGTGGGACTATATACTATGGTCTAATAGAACTTTTGAATATTCTTGGAATCGTGATGTTTCGGAGATGTATGGCTTGAAACTAAATGCGGGCTGAAATGAATGAAACCCATCATGTGACACTGACAAATGACATGAGAATTGAAAAACCAGTTCAATTGCAGTAATATTGGCCACATCCGGCCACGTTCCAGGAACCCATCGGCCCCACTTTCTTGCTACTTAGAGTCTAAATCCATCATGCGTTAAGGTAACGTCAGATGAGAATTCGTCGATCTTTTCTCATCGTATTAGCACTTTAGCCGGAATTTCAGGCTTTTAACTATGTTCTCTATAAAATAATGGGTGGGACAAAGCTTTGTTTGCTCCACCCAGGTATTTTTGAGCATTTGGCATGTCCCATCTGTCCAACCTCGCGCCTCTGGTCAGAGATCTACTTGCCTATGCGGTATTACAATAAACTTCCTGCAAGATTTGGGAACGTCATTTAATGTTAAAGAACTTCAGGGGTTTTATTTTTTTTATCTTTGATTTGTTTTCCGTAGATCTTGTTTTCCGTGCTGAGCACCAATGCTACCGACGCCATGGAGGCAGCTCCCACACCTGGACCCTACGTATCGACTCATGAACCGGGGACCAACGGCTTTACTTCCCTTCCGAAGAAAGGTGTGATCAGAAATGTTATGCCTCAGAACATCCCGGCGGCGCCGACTGGGATTGAACCCAGGCCTGCTGGGGTGAGAGGTAATCACGCTTACCACTACACCACCGGCGTCGCTAACTTCAAGGGTTTGACGAAAGAGAATCGATCAATTTACTATTTGAAAAGTTGAGCTAAGTGTTGCCAGGTATACTGATTCATCAGAATTTGTACCGATTTAAAACTTCATACCAATATCCTGATAAGGTTCTTCAGAATACCATTTGGTGAGATTATTATATAAAAATGATTATTGCCTTCCGCTCTCATATATCAGAGAAAAATATTGTGAGGAGCTTTTATCTTGCTGAATATTTGGCTACCCAGGAATCAAGAAACAGCTAGCTGAAGGCTCATCTCGGTAATTCCTGTGAATCGCGAAATACTTTTATCTTCTAATGCGACCAAAAAGGTCCATCATGTACCATTTTTAACTTTCAAAAATTTATTTAATTATTACTTTGAAATCAGGGTTCTACATTTTCTAAGCTCTAAAATGAGTTCAAGTTTTGTTTCATTCATACAACGTGTTCAACGTTTCATTTCTACAAAGCTTAGCTAGACTATTAAACCGAAACGAAATTGAAAAAGAAACACGCTTAGAATGAAAAGCTGGCCGTGTATTTTCTCTTCGTTGCTTTGCTCATCGCTTTCAATTAAAGTAACAGCGATTATGGAGTTGAAACGAAACTTCATTATGGCTTTCAGTCCCTTTCACCGACATTCTATTATCGCTCTATAAGTTTTTTTGATATGCGTTATGTCCCATTTTCGTTACTTTTTTGAAGATAAATACGTGGATGGACGATTAATTAAACATATAACGTGTAATCTTCAAGTTATGAAAGACGAAACTATCAAAGTCCGCTTCACCGAAGCATTGAACAAAGACCAATGAAACGACGGGAGAAAGAGAGACAAGTGATTGAAAATTTGATTGTAGACGCCGACTGCGAAGCTGTTCGACTTCAACGGGAAAAGAAAGCAAGCAGTCTCTTCGTCACATCCATTATGTTGATTGAAGCTGATATTGTGACACTCTGCTTGAAAGTGTCCTCCAATTTTCCCAGGAATGTTCTTCCAGATCACCCCTTAAGTTATTTTCGGATTTCTCCCGGAAAATTATTTCGACTTCCCTCGGAAGCTTGTTCTGGCTTCGCACGAAAGGTTCTTCTGTCTTTTTACGGAATTGTGTACTATCTTTCCCTAGAAGAATCTACCAGAATTTCTTTCGGCATCCCTCATGAATCTTTTTCTCCCGGAATGGTTTCCCAACTTCTCCTAGAAGCTTAATTTGACTGTCCCTTTGGTTTCCACCGGGAGAAGCTTCCAACTTTCTTCAGAAGTATCTTCCAAACTACCTCAGAAGCTTTCTTCCAGCATCTCCAGAAAGCTTCTTCCGTCTTCTCCAGGACGTTTCTTTAAACTTTTTTCAGACTTCTATTGGAAGATTTTTCTGAGCTTTTTCTAGCCGTTTCTAGCTAGTGTAATCTGAATTTTTCCGAAAGTTTCTTTAATTTTCTTCCAAAATTTTCTCAATATTTGTCTTGGATGTTCTTTGGATGTTTTTTCCCGACTTTGCTTAGAACTTTCTTCAAACTTCCTCCAAAAAAGGCTTGCTTCTATTCTCTTGCTATAAAAAATGATTATAGGAATTTTGGAATCATTAGATGTTATTATGATATTTTGTACTTCTAAGGTACAATAAGAGGTTGATAGACAAGTGTTTAACTCATAAAACCAGTCAAATTCGCTTTCAGAGAGTCACAATCAGTGATTTTACGACTCGCGAGCGCTCACTCTGAGTGAACGCTCACGAATCATAAAATCGCTGATTGTGACACTCTGAAAGCGAAATTGACAGGTTTCATGTGTCAAACACATACTTTACAACCTCTTCTTTTAACTTACAGTTTCAAAATATCATAATAACATAATAACGGTTTTATAATTCCGAAAAACATGATTTTTATAGCTAGTGATTGGAAGCAACCCTGCTCTAGAATATCTTCTTTCATCTTGCTTTGGAAGTTCATTCAGATTCGGAGATTTCTTCAGATTTTCCAGAAAAATCCTTTCTTAGTCCTAAAGTTAAAAATTTGGAAAATATCGAATACGCATTTTTGAAGTTTTTTTGCGAAATTCAAAATGGCCCAATTGTAGCTCAAATGTGAATGATTAACCATAATCAACAATTCACGATAGAGCTGGAATTAGTGTGTAACAGTTTTTGTAAACATTCATTTCTAGAAAGTCAAAGCTCGCCCACGCAAATATACTCCACCAACAGGTAGGGGAAGTCTTCCCATACCTGATGGTTGTATTAGTTTGCGTGGGCGTGCATTGAAATCCTGGAAATCATCCACAGAAGTAATTGTTTACAAAAGTTGTTACGCCCCAATTCCAGCTATATCTAGAATTATGAAAAGTTTTATGCCATCCGGAGAAGGTCGAGTTTGAAATTGAAAAATGTTTTTGCTATTTGGCCTGGAAATGCTATAATGGCCAGTGTCTCCAAATGGCTACCATTTAACTGTATTTTGAATTCTCATGTGATTTGAGGTATTGCATGATAGATTTTGACCATCGTCAGGAATTAATCACTTCCCCAAACCACTCCAAATGATTAGTATTGAACTAATTTTTGAATTGTCATATGATTTGAGATATCGCATGATGGATTTTGACCTTAGACAGAAATTATACACTTCTCTGGAGGTACCAGGAACATGCCCGGATGTGTCCAGCCTTGGATGCATCAAATGATTTCCATTGAATTGATTTTTGAAATCTCATGTGATTTGAGGTATCGCATGATAAATTTTGACCATCGTCAGGAACTAACCACTTCCCCGGGGGTACACGGAACATGTCCGGGTGCGGCTTTTGTGGTCCTTGGCACTCCAAAAGATTACTATTGAACTGATTTTTGGATTGTCATATGATTTGAGATATCGCATGATGAATTTTAACCTTAGTCAGATATTGCACACTTCTCCGTTGGTACCCGGAACATGTCCGGATGTGTCCAGTGTGGCCCTGGAAACTTTAAATGATTACAATTGAACTGTATTTTGAATTCTCATGGGATTTGAGGGATCTCATGATGGATTTTGACCATAGTCAGGAACTAACCACTTCCCCAGAGGTACCCGGAACATGTCCAGGTACGGTCTTTGTGGTCCTGGGCACTTCAAATAATTACTATTGAACTGATTTTTAAATGGTCATTGTTGAGATATCGCATGATGGATTTTGTCCCTAGTCAGAATATGGACACTTCTCCGGGGGTACCAAGAACATGTCCGGATGTGTCCAGTGCGGCTCTGGAAACTTCAAATGATCACCATTGAACTATATTTTGAATTCTCATGTGATTTGGGGTATCGCATGATACATTTTGACCATAGTCAGGAACTAACCTCTTCCCCGGGGTTACCCGGAACATGTCCGGGTGTGACCAATGTAGTCCTGGGCACTCGAAATGATTACTTTTGAACTGATTTTTGAATTGTCATATGATTTAAGATATCGCATGATAAATTTTGACCTTAGTCAGAAATTGGACACTTCTCCAGGGGTACCCGGAACATGACCGCACGTGTCCAGTGTGGCCCTGGAAACTTCAAATGATTACCATTGCACTGTATTTTAAATTCTCATGTGATTTGAGGGATCTCATTATGGATTTTGACCATAGTCAGGAACTAACCACTTCCCCGGAGGTACCCGGAACATGTCCGGGTGCGGCCTTTGTGGTCCTGGACACTCCAAATGATTAGTATTGAACTGATTTTTGAATTGTCACATAATTTGAGATATCTCATGATGGATTTTAACCCTAGTCAGAAATTGGACACTTTCCCGGGGGTACCAGGAACATGTCCGGATGTGCCCAGTGTGGCCCTGGAAACTACAAATGATTTCCATTGAACTGATTTTTGAATTCTCATGTGATTTGAGGTATCACATGATGGATTTTGACCCTGGTCAGAAACTGTCCCCTTCCCAGGGGGTACCCGGAACTTGTCCGGATGTGGCCCGTGTGGTCTTGGGAGCTCCAAATAATTTCCATTGAACTGGTCATGTGATTTAAGCTATCGCATGATAGATTTTGACCATAGTCAGAAACTGGCGAATACCACGGGGGTACTTGGAACTAGGCTGGATGTGGCCAGCGTGATCTTGGGCACTCAAAATGGCTACCATTGAACTAGTTTTGAAATCTCATGTGATTTATAGTATTGCATGTTGGATTTTGATCACAGAGCAGTTCCACGCTTTCACTAAATTTTCATATCCGTCAAAGGGAAAAACAGCAATACACGCTGAACGAATTATTCCCAGTTATTTGGACTTAGTATAACTTTTAAATAAATTTTAATCGAAGCAACGAGTAAACATTGATTACCTATGATAGAGTCAATTTTAATCGTTATTTGTTTAGAAATATTCTTGAGTGTAGGCCATTCATGACTTGATTGGTAAATCTACCAAACGGGAAACCTGCGGTAGATAATATTGCAACAAATTACTACGTTTCAGTGGTTGTAAAATTGAAATGAAGCCATTCTTTCAGATATTAATGCGCAAAAAAACCAAGTATGCGATGATCATCTCTAGATGACAGCACAGTCTATCACATCCACCGCAATTGTGTGAGGCCCGTATGCACCAACTCAGCTCGCAGTTCGCTCGTATGCTTCGCACCTTTGTCACTAACTGATTTCGGATTTCCTTATGCCACTGTAAACTAATTTCTTATTGTTTGTGATGTTCAAGGTGCTCCCTGGTACTCCCGCACTGATGCTAGTCGAAGCTGTCGAATTCGATGCTACGATTTCCTAACTAAAGTGTATTTAAATAAAGACAGACCCCAACCATCGCACAATTTTCCACTTCCCGCACTGTGTTTGTGCGCACCGAACTGTGTCCATCGACGAGGCAGTTTCCTTTGGTGGTACCCTCCCTCGCGACGTTTCCATATCCACATAAATCAGAGCACCGAACGCGAAAAATCAATAGTAGCCACACACTGCACACGGCACGCACATCCACGCTCGTTCGGATTTTCTCCGTGATTTTTCTGCTGTTTTGGCAAATATATTGGAAGCATTCAGAGAATTAATTTTTAATATAATAATTAATAATTAATGTCGTATTAACTTATTCCGTCCGATCGCCTGCTCTCTCGGTATGCGTGTGTGTGTGTGCCGACTGCTCGGGATACGCCTAGATGTATGCAAGTCATCAGATTAATCTTCTCCCTTTGCCTCTCGATTCTGTGCAAATTTTACGACAACATTTGATGTGGCAAGCTCTCGGCTCGGGTTGGGATCCTCCGGGAGCCCTTTTTTTTCGAGTAGCACAGCCTTGATTACATCTCCCCTTCCAGGAGCCACTCCCGTGCACCCTTGCCGAAATCACTCAAACATCTCTTTCCTGGCGGCAGCAGCAGCGTGGGGGTGTCGTTTCAGCTTGAGTGGATTTTGCTCCGTTTTTCCTGATTAGAAAATCCCACCGACGACCCGGCAGCTTGGGTCCGGGTAGCAGCCAATAAGAAGGATCCCTTTTTTGTCCGAAACACCAAGCCTCTGACTATGGCAACTCGTTTACTGCGAGGAAGATGATTTCTGGCAGTTTATGACCATCATCGTGTCGTCGTCCTACCATTTTACTAGCTCCCCGGGGGCAATTCGAATCCCCCGCAATGCCCCACCTAGCAGCGGAGAGTTGAGTTAACAAAAAAAAAACGACGAACCCATGCTTCGGTTCGATTGGCCGTAAAGCACCGAACTACGACGAGGAGTCCGAAACCACCGAACAGATGGCGATTGGCAATATCCGAGGTCGTCCGGGTTGGCAAGCAGACAGCTTCTCGCTTCTCCAAGGGCGGTTTCCGATGAAAACTTAAAACTAAATCAATTTTAAAATTCGTCACACACGAACGCGCTCGCTCACACTTCGCTTCGACGTCGCATCCAACTACTACCACCCCTAGCCGCTCTGGGTTAAGTCTGAGTTTGGTACTTACTTTGCTTAGTTTAGTTAGAACAACCAAAAAACGCTACTACGGGTTTGCTTATATAAAACATTTGCAGCCGCTTCGCTCCAAACTTCTTGTAATCGGATTCTAAATTTCCTTGTGTTAGTTTTTTTTTTCTTTTTTTGTAACGTTTTTGCAATTCAAAAACTTTATTTTATTTTTATTTTTTGATTTCCTACGCAATTTTACTTTAACTGGTATGCTCTGTGTGAGAATGTGTTAGTGTACTTATTTTGTTTGTTGTTGCTTGCTATTTTTGCTGCAATTTTAATTCAGAATTCGTTAATCGTTCCTAGACTCGTTCAATTCACCAGTTTTTTTTTTGTGTGTTCTTTTTTGTTTGAAGATATCGTTTTTTTTTTTGGGTTTTGTTAGTTAGCTTTCATCACTGCTTACAAACTAGTCATAAATTCTCCTCCTTGCTTTTAGTTCCTTGCGATTTTTTAATTTTAAATTTTCTAACACATACGCAACCGCACGTGTGTAACTCTATGTTGTCCTTCTCATTTTTTTTTCTTTGTGTGTGTTTGAATTAGGAATATTTCTTGTTACCTCCTTTTCTATAATGTTAATCATCAATAACGATAAAATCTAGTTTTTTTTTTCTTCCATTTTTTGTCTCTTGTATACGTATAAAAAAGAACCGAAACTGTAAATAGGTAAAAATAAATCCTAAAAATTTCTTATACTTTTGTTGTTATATTTGCATTCCTCAGGGACTCTTACCTTTCCGCGTCCTGTCCTGCGCTGGTCTCACACATTCCGATCTTCTAACTTCGTCCTAATCGTGACTGTGTGTGAGTGTGTTTGGGTGTGTTTTTGGGTGTGTTCTGTTAGTCTAACGTGAGTTGTTTCTCAGTGTTGCCACTGTGCAGTTTCGTTCAACACAAGCCCCTACGATGACGCTCTGAATTGTTTTTTGCTGCTGTTGTTGATTTTTTTTTTTCGGTTTCGTTTTTTCCCTAAATCGCACACACGCTCTACTTTACTTATCCTCGCCGAGCAGCACCAGATCATCCGCCACGACGTCGCTCACGTGCAGATAGATGATCCAGTACATCAGGTTGAAGCACACGAAGCAGACCGGAAAGACGATACGCGAGTACTTGTCGATGTCCGAGGGCGTAATTCCTAACAGTTTGTTGATATCCTGTTCCGGGAGAAGGAGAGAGAAGATTGCAATAGATCACATTAGAATTGCTGCCAGTTCCAGAAGCTTTACGTGTACGATGATAAGGCTAAAAAAAGCCGTTGAATTGGAATGATATTTATTTTTATTTTTCAATTAGATATGTTGGTACAAAGACCAAGTCATCAAACTTGAAACCAAACATTAATTTTATTTTCTCTAGGGGTTACAATACCGATATTACTGCAAACAAAAATCGATTGAGCAGTGACAGTATATACAGTTGTGTTCAATATAATAGCAGCGCATGCCGATTTCCATTCAAAATGGTCAACTTTGACATGATGTAACTTTGTCAACTCAATTGAGCTGAAACCTTCGCCACAAAACTACAAATATGTTCAATTTTACGATTACAAAATACCAAATTTTTGGAGCACCTGTGGGAAAGTGAGACACTAGGTAAAATTGTTCAAAATAATAGCAGTTTTTGATTTGAATTTTTATGTACTGCGAATATTTTAAACATTTTTAACTATCATGTACATTTGTTAATTGGGTAGGAATTGTTAGAATTTTGATAAATGTAAAATTTAAAATCTTAAAATTGAGCTGAAATGCAAATTATAATTACTGCTATTATTTTGAACAATTCTACCTAGTGTCTCACTTTCCGGCAGGTGCTTCCAAACATTTGGTATTTGGTAATCGTTAAATTGCACATATTTGTAGTTTTGTGGCGAACGTTTCAGCTCAATTGATCTTAAGAGAACAAAGTTACAACTTGTCAAAGTTGACCATTTTGTATGGAAATCGGCATGCGCTGCTATTATATTGAACACAGGTGTACGTTGTAAAATTGCATGTGATGTACACTGAAACCTCCGTTTATGAAGTCTTTTTTTACGCAGTATTCAGTTTACGACCCTCTTCGTACAATCCGTACAATCCCAAAAAACGAGGTTTTTTTCCCGAAGTAAATCCCAAATAACGAGTTTTTTTTTTGATTTTGGGAAATTGGGATATACTGTGCAATACCCATGGAATCAGAGTGACGTGTAGGGACCGGAAATCGATGTCTGACGCCATTTTGAAATCCAAGATGGCAACTTCCGGTTACATAAAAACTTGGAAATTCTGCCAAATACCCCACCATATGGGTATTTTTGGAATTGGAGTGACGTGTAGAGACCGGAAATCAATGTCTGATGCCATTTTGAAATCCAAGATGGTGACATCCGGTTACATAAAACTTAGAAATTCTGCCAAATACCCCACAATATGGGTATTTTTGGAATCGGAGTGACGTGTAGAGACCGGAAATCAATGTCTGATGCCATTTTTAAATCAAAGATGGTGACTTCCAGTTACATAAAAACTTGGAAATTCTGCCAAATGCCACACAATTTGGGTATTTTTGGAATAGGAGTGACGTTTAGGGACCGGAAATCAATGTCTGACGCCATTTTGAAATCTAAGATGACGGCTTCCGGTAACAGAAAAGCTTGGAAATTCTGTCATATACCCCACAATATGGGTATTTTTGGAATTGGAGTGACGTGTAAGAACCGGAAATTTATGTCTGACCCCATTTCGAAATCCAAGATGGTGGCTTCCGGTTACAGAAAAATTGGCAAATACCACCACATCACCCGATGCTTAAGATACCCATATTGTAGGTTGTATAAAATTATTTTTATGTTTTTATGTAACCGGAAGTCGCCATATTGAATTTCAAAATGGCGTCAGACATGGGTTTTCAGTCCTAATAAGTCACCCAGATTCCAAAAAAACCCATATTGTGGAGTGTTTGCAGTATTTTCCAGTGTTTCTGTAACCAGATGTCACCATCTTGGATTTTGAAATGGCGTCAGACATGGATTCCCGGTTCTAACAGGTCACCCCGATTCCAAAAATATCCATATTGGTGTGTATTTAACGGTATTTTTCTGTTTTCCTGCAACTGGAAGCCGCCATCTTGGATTTCAAAATGGCGTCAGACATCGATTTCCGGTCCCTACGCGTCACACCGATTCCTAAGATATCCATATTGTGGGTTATTTAACATTATTTTTCTGTTTTTATGTAACCGGAAGTCGCCATCTTGGATTTCGAAATGGCGTCACACATCGATTTCCAGTCCCTACACGACAAACCGATTCCAAAAATACCCATATTGTGGGGTACATGACAGATTTTCGATGTTTTCCTGTAACCGGAAGCCACCATCTTGGATTTCAAAATGGCGTTAGACATCGATTTCCGGTCCCTACACGTCACTCTGATTCCAAAAATACCCATATTGTGGGTTATTGATAGAATTTCGAACTTTGACTATATGTTTTAGTATTACTTCTACGTGAAGTCAACGATTTACATAGTTGAAGATGCTAATTTCAAATAACAGACTGTAGTGGTAATTTTTATACGATAGATGGAGTAGATGAAAGCATAGAGTTGATAGTTCCGTTAGATTACGGCAGTGTGAAGATTGCATATAGATATTAGAATAGCGAGCTAGGACAACTTTTTAAGGAAGGTACAAATCTGTTTTTTCATCTCTCTTTACCAAACTCCCCCTTTGGAGAGGGATGGTGAGGGGTGCCCCCCCCCCTGTAGTGCGGTAAAAAATCGGTAGAACTGTTTCAAACACGCAGTTGGTAATTGGGCGGTCGGTTTTCATCTTTTTTTTTGCCACGGGTGGGGGGGGGGGACATTCCTTAACAAATTAATAAGGTTTTAAAATGGCTTTTATGAAGAAAACTTGCAGGCTGAATTGTATTTATCTAAAGCCATTTTGCTTGATCCTAACCCGTTCAGATTTATGGCAGCATTTATGGAGGCAAAGTTGTCCGCGAAAAGTTAAACGTCAAAGTTTGTTTATCCTTCGATGGTTGCGCTGTGGGATCCAGTTTTCTTCCAGGTGGTTTTCTCCCGATAGATTGGGAGATTGGTTACTCAGACAGTTTGCGATACTGTTTTACAACCTTTTTTTCGCATTTCGAACAGCTGAAAGCGCAATCGTTCCCGAAAGAGATCCCTTTCTTCCGGATGATTACAGAAGTGCACCATCCAACGATGCAGGGATGTACGCTTGAATGAAATTTTCGAAGAGTTGATTCTTTCGCCGAATAAAATCGCTGCTATGGATCGGAAACCAACTAATCTCCGCTAACTAACAGTTTCAGTGGTTTGCTGTCGGTTGTCATCTTTTCGCAAGATCTGGAGAAGGCTGGTATGTCTTTTAAACTTTCGACAATGTTTTATGAATTCGAGGGCCCCACTCAGTTTGCTCTTCTCCGCCAGATGGTCAGTCGTTGATGGTGTGCTGGTTCTTCTAAAGAAGTAAAATTTGCTAAAATCAACTTAAATTTTTCATCTTACTTCGTCTATCGTTCGAGATTTTTTTGTCATAAATTTGGCTTTTATGAGGAACCATCTTTTAAGCTAAATTTGTAAACAGAGTAATTGGGGAGTTAATGATGCACTTTAAAAACCCTAAAAAGCAACAATAAATGCTTTTTGCTCTAATGCAAAACCTAATGGTTTTATGGTTGCTTTTATAATGATAGAACACGTTTATAAAGTATTTCATCAATACATTAATAAACAATTGGTAATGACGTTTATGCTTGAATTACAGAATAGTTTTAAGGTGGGATTGATAACTGTTTTAAATTTATTTTTAAAACAAGACAGTTTTTGACTTCCATGTCAGACTATAAAAGATTTTTAAAACAGCAAAAAGCTGAATTACTAAGCAGGAATGTTTTACACTTTGAAATGCTATATTTAAACTAAATGGATTGTTCATTGCCTTTATAAAACCATCATAAATCAGAGTGGATGCTAAATCGGTACTGAATTGTTACTTGGGATGCAACTATGTATGTAAAAATATAGTCAAAGAAGTGCCTAAAAACTTTGCCAACGAAAGTACGGTGCTGTATCTAAAAAAGTTATAACTATTCAAATAGGGGAATTTACGTATTCTCGGCAACCTAAGCAGCGACCTTCTTTCTATAGCCTTTTTCTCTATGGAACGCACACATATGCAGTATTGGTTTGTTTACAATCTTTTGCTGCCAGCTGCTCTAACAATTTCAGTCGAAAGAATTGTCAAAAACTGTTTTGAAACGCTTTTACAAAGCTCCAATCTTCTCTAGTGAGAGCGAGTATTGTCGGCAACCAGTTTTTCTTCGGCAACCGTTCCATTTGAACTGCATGTAAATCTGCTGTTCTATTATCGGCAACTCGAAATCAGCTACAATTTGTAGTGCGTGTGTTTCATTTCAAGAAAACCCTGCTAGATTGCTTTTTCTCAGTGGTAAAAATATAGTCAAATTGAAGCTGAAAGCATAAAGAATCGTTTGCATGCATTCAGCGAAGTGTTTTCGTAAGAAAATCCAGTGAAAATAGTGTTTCAATTTGGGTTGCCGAAAATAGTCTGTCATGCCGAAGCCGTCATTTCCCCTATGTATGGTTCGGTTTAAACACCGAAAATCCCTTTTTCTGCCAACACTGCCGGTGTACCAATGGGAGTCAGATTCCAAACATAAATATTTTCGGAGTTTCTTATCTTGCCGATTCGGTATGTTCAGATGAATTATTCAAAAACAATTGCTCTATCTCATATGTGTAGTTGGAGGGGGGTTAGTAATAAACCCCTCCCCCGCACTCATATCAATAGAAGTGAAGTTTCAAACTGAAATAACTTCGGAGTTTGTTATCTTATCGATTTGGTATGTTCAGGATGAATTATTCAAAAACATTTGCTCAATCTCATAACCGTAGTTATACCCCGTTCACATTACAGCCTATATCACGTAATATAGGCTGTCTTACAATGAGCACTTATACATAGGATTTCCAGTGAAAACTAGATGTATGAGTGCTCATTGCAAGGCAGCGTATATCACGTGATATACGCTGTAATGTGAACGGGGTATTAGAGAGCGGCGTGGGGGGCTTACACTATACGTAGTTTTTAAAACGAAAATTGTTGTAGTGTAAATATTTAA